GGGTTGTAGAGGAGGTGTCCGCATTTCTGTTGATGGAGTTAGCTGCCTGCAGGGGCTCTGGTTCTGGGAACTGAGTGCAGAGGCATTTGGGTCAGGAGCCAAAAAGAGAGGTCGTAGGAGGTCTTTCCAGCAGAGAGTGGTGTCCTCCAGGGGCGTGAGCAGTTAACAAGCTGTCCTCAGCGCGGGGTTGGGAATTATCTGTCCTGGCAGCGATTGGTGTCTCTGGATCTGTCGCGTTTAATTACACAGACGTCTTGCTCAAGCCCCAGGTAAAGGCTTTCTGGGACTCCAAGGTCTCTCCTTGGTCGTGTTGCGTTGCTGCAGCCAGATGGCTCAGCCCTGAGGCCTGGGCAAAGTTTGATCGGGGAAAGTGTTCGTCTTTCCACGCTCCGCTGTCCTTAGGCTTTGCACTGCGGCCTCAGGAGATGCCAGCAACCTTCAGATTATGAGGTCTGTGTGCAAATGCCACACTTTTCCTGTTGTAAGGCTGCTTGAGTCTTAAAACTACTTCTTAAATGATACCATAGTGTGTCTAAGAGAACTCCTTAAGCCTTCCCACTGTTTGATTTTGAGCTGCAGTGGCTGGGTTGCTAATGGTATGGTTTTAGTTACAGGCCGATAGTTGAGTACATTGATACGCAGTTTGAAAATTATTTGCAAGAAGAGTTGAAAATCCGCCGATCTCTCTTCAACTATCATGACACGAGGATTCACGTCTGCCTGTACTTCATCACCCCAACCGGGCACTCGCTCAAGTCCCTGGACCTGGTGACAATGAAGAAGCTGGATAGCAAGGTAAGGGGTTGGAGACCATGATCCCTCTTTCTGGAAGCGGTGATGCTTTTGTTTAGTATTTATTGTCATGTAGGAGGCTCTGTTCCTTCTCTGTAAGTGCTGGACCCCTTCCTGCATGTTGGCTGCCCTGTTTTTAGGACTCTGGTAAAACTTCATCTGCCCTGATGGGTTGCTGAGATCTTGTGGTTTGGTTTTTTTTCCCCCTCATGGGTTTTCCTGAAAAGTGTCACATGAGAGCATCCAAAACCTGTAGCCTTCCTGAGGTGGTGATGGGTAAAGAGGAGCCAGGGGCTGAAGAGAAGCATTGGCTGTGCGTGCTGGCACACGAGGAGTGTGTGAGCTGTCACTGCTGGTAGTGCCAGATGATCTGCGTAGCGATCACAGTGTCTTCTGAAAATGTGAATATGGGGAGGAGTTGTCAGGGCCATAGGAGTCCTAAAAGTGGGTCATGAGAGGGTCTAGCTGGGGCTTGTTTCTTGGTGCGTAACCTGTTCTGCCTTAGGGGGCAGTGGGTTACTTAACTGGCTACCGCTGATATTCCTGCAGCTCGGAAGAGGTTTCTGACACACTTCGGGTTGTCCCAGCTGGCTTCCAGGGAGCTGCAGGAGGCTTCAAGGGTCGCTGGTGGCGGCAGCATTTCTCCTATTCTCTGCGAGAATATTCTGCCTTTCAGAGCAGCGAGGTGGCTCCTTTCAGACGGCGGATGTCGATCGGTTTACGGGGGTGCAGCCGCGGCAGATGAGGTCCTGCAGTAGCCGGGATCCCCTGGATTACATCGAGGGAACGCTCTCTTCCCTGGCTGTTGTGCACGTGCAGCTCTGTCGGACTTTTCTGGAGAAAAGTGCCCCCTCGCAGGGTCCCAGCTGTTGGCTCTCACCACCCGGGGCTCTTGTCCTGCTTTTCCTTGGCCCCGCTCCCGAGCGGGCGCTGGCTCCCCGTTGCAGTGGGGCTGTTTGTAACCGTGGCGGCCGTTAACTCTGACTCCATCAGGAATCCAGAAAAACTTTCCCTTAATAAACTCTTGTCTGTTGGCACGACGCCAGCATTACGTGCTGCCAGAAATATGTTTGGAGGAAAAGCTTTTGCACGATTCCCCTTGATGCTGGTGGTCCCACAAAGCTTTTTCTTTTTTTTTCCCCTCTTCCTTTCCTTGTGCGTTCCCTACCTTTCACATCTCCCTGCAGCTGCCTTTCATGTGGTCCTTGGGTAGTACCAAAATAAACCCTTTGTACTTGTGTGGGGATGGGAACTTTGTGCACACGCAAGCTTTTTGTATTTCTAAACTTCCACTTAAATAATCCTCTCTGCAGTCATTTTATCCCTTTGCTCTCATCTCCTTTCTTACCCCACGGTGCGAGAACGTCTTGGATTTTGTGGCGTGGTGGCGTCAGACCAGCACGTGTGTGGGAAATTGATAAGCAAGTAGAGACCTTTGATCTTTTCTGGGTGTCAGGGGTTTATGTTGCATTTCAGCACTGGAGTCACCCCAAGACTTTGGGTGCTTTCCAGGCACTCCTTAAAGTACCGACGGACAGAGGCAGTGCTGTGCTGCGTGCTGGCTCAGCCTGAGGCTAATTTATCAAGCGTTTTGTAGGAGCCTGGCTCAGTAAGACCTTTGCTTTAGCACACCAGAGGCCCAGCATCAGGTGTTGAATCCTTGCGACGTTTTCAATGATGATTCTTGCTTTTAGTGTAAAGTTTACAAAAGCCCTTCTGGGCAGCGCTGATCCCTAAACAAAATCTTCCATTGTGCTGAAATACAGTATTTGTTTGGCTGAGCTCATGGCCAGCTGTTGCCGAGGGTATTTTGTTACAGCAGAGAGCTAAAGCATCTTCACAGCTGGTTCTAGGTAGATAGAATGTGGTTGCCTGGCTGGTAGGTGAGAAATGTGTATGACCTGGCAGGGATTGACTTTCCCTTTGACTTTAACCTGGGAAAAGGAGATGGGGATGATTCGGGCTGATTTGTGCCTCTGCTGCTTGGTTTCCAAAGTAGGATTTGCCTCTTGGCTTCTCTGGGACTTGCATTTGGGAACACTTTGGAGATGGGGGAAAAAATCCTGCTGTATTTCACGGGCGGAGGACGCATGGAGCCTTAATATAGTAGAAAAATTATTTTCTAGCAACTGGCTTATTTCAGCACATTCTTAAGTTTTATTTTTGGAGATGAGAAATAACTCTGTGGTCAGGATGACTCGAGAAGGAGGTGCATTTTCTGTCTCTGCATGTGAGTTCACTGTCTGGTCTGAAGCAGAGACTTTCTCTGGATGTAATTCCAGCTCCAGCAAAGACTTCCAGCACAAACTGGTGGTCAAGGGGGCACTGCACCCCTGTCACAGTCAGTGGGAGGACACTCCAGTAGTTAACTTCTTAGATAGAGAATAATGCTCTTCTGCCATGAGGTATAAGAATGTTGCTCTGGGATTTTGCCTGCAACCCAACATTAATTATTATCTGTGTAAAAGTGAGAGCAGGGATACAAACATCTCATGGGTCTGATTTAGGTGAAGATGTCCCTGCTTGCCGCGGGGCTGTTGGACTAGATGATTTTCAAAGGTCTCTTCCGGCACAAACTATTTATGATTCTATGATTAATTCCTTTTACTGGGTAAGTAAAGAGGAGGTGACTTTTATTCTCTAGCTGGTTGTATATCACTTTATTTGGCACTAATCTCTGTGCCACAGACTGTGGCCTTTGCATAAGTAGGGGGTGTGTGGAAGGTGCTGGAGGAGGACAGGATTAGATGCACTGTTCAGTTCGGTAGCATTTCATACCTTGTTTTTTTCTGGTTTCCAAATTTTTCCATCCTTCTCCTTATTATAAAGGGGTGAGCTCATCTAGACTTAACAGCTTTTGGATGCCAACATTCAAAATCAGGGAAAGGAAAACAGGGAGATAATCCTATGGAGCCCGGGGTATCACTCGTTAGCCACGGTATATTCCAGCTCGTGGGTTTCCAGGGCATGCATGAAATAAAAAACCAGTAATAATGGGATATGGTGGCTCTGCAGCTCTTAGCAGGTCAGCAAGGCACCCAGCCGTGGTTGTGGCCCTTTGTTACCTTTGTAATGAGGACATCGACCTGCTTGAGGAGCAGAGAGAGCAGCAGACCTCGTTCTGTGTGCGTTTGTGGTCCTTGGTAAAAGAGGACAGATCGGTGGCTGAGGAAATGGAGGAGTTTACCCTCTCAGGTAAAGTTGCAATGAGCAAATGAAGGCGATTTTCTTTTGGGTAAAATGCTCTTGTATTTAGTGAGTGCTAAACCAGGGGCGGCGGGGAGAGGGAAACAAGTTGTATGGAAAAACCAGTGAGCTACAAAGAGAACTTGAGCTGGGAAAGGAAAGTCATTTGCTTTAATGGGCACCCGCTGGAGACCAAATGGCTGTGCTGGATTTCTCCTCCGTAGGACAAAAAGTGTTGGCTGTTAGGAAATGTTAGATGGGAAATCAGACTTTTCCCCCTCGTTTTTCTGAATTCTTATGTTTCACTGCTATGAATTTGGCTGCTGTTCAGACAGACGAGTTGGGCTGTTTGTTTAAGCAGGGGTTTGCAGTATCGCGCTCGGCTGTCGCAGGCAGAGCAGCATTAGCTGGTAGAGATTCCCGTGACAGATCCTGCCCCGCTGCAACTCTCCCAAGCACGAGGCCACAGTGATCCACATCCCTCCTGAAGGATGCAGGACATGGCCCTCGTTTGCTCTCAGTCTCGGTAGGTTCTGGGCCTGGGGGGGACCTCTCCACCCTGCAGCTCGTTGTGGCTTTGTGCAACCTGGGTTGCACGGTGTGTTGTGCTCGGTGACTGTGGAGGCGAAGCCAAAGCTGGGCAACAACAGCATGAAAACAAATCTCCTGTCTGCTGTCTGGCACCCTGCACCTTCCCCAGGTGGGCCATGTCATCTGCAAGCACCCCGGAGTTGTGACCCTGGCAGAGAGGCTCGGGGAGTCCTCGGGAAGGATCCGCGGTTGCAGTGAAAACCTCTGAGGAGCCCTTGCTCCTCCTGCTTGAGCAAGGGAAGGCTTCATATTAGCTCACTGCAGTGTTTCCTCCTCGTGCTTGTCTTCTAAAACGGCTTGTCAGCGCAGCCAGGGGTGGCTAGGTGACAACTCGAGATGTGACAGTTACTCTGTCTCTTCCCCGTAACAAAACATGCAGGCGAGAGCAGAGGCTTTGATCTGCTCATTGGGTATTTATCGCAGGGTTTGTCTCTTGGTTTATCTGAAAGTCTTGGAGCCAAATTAGTCCTGGAAAACTCTTCCCTCTAGTGTTCGGACAGGCTTTTGCGCAAAACGTGGTGGTTTGGTGAAACATAAAGCAGGCAGCAGGGCAGGACCCGGGTCACCCGCGGGCACCCACGCTCCCGACATCGCTGCTGGCCCGCCTGCTGCTCACCTGCTTCTATTTCCTTCCTCCTTTTCCTCCGCTCTAGGTGAACATCATCCCGATCATTGCCAAAGCAGACACCATCTCCAAGAGCGAGTTGCACAAGTTCAAGATCAAGATAATGAGCGAGCTGGTCAGCAACGGGGTGCAGATCTATCAGTTCCCCACAGACGACGAAGCGGTCGCCGAGATCAACTCGGTGATGAACGTGAGTAACGCCGCTGCCAGAAGTCGTGACAAATCAGACTGCTGCACAAAAATGCATTTGAAGGGCAAGTTTCTTTGGGATTGTCCAGACGCTAAATCTGTTTGAAAGTTGAGCCGTGGATCTGACAGTCGCCGAAGGCTGTTGCATACAGAATTAATTAAAATGTGGCTCTTATTTAATCTGCGTTCTCTATGGAGAAACTCAGCTCAGCTCTAACATTTGTTTTATTTAATTTTTTTGAAAAATACTTCCTTCAAAATTCATTAAGCCTGCTTTTAGGCTTTTTTTTTTCTTTTGAGGAAGGAGAAACTTGAATACAAATTTTACAGTTAAGATTTGTATTAGCCTTCTGACTTGAGAGGGCTAAGCAGTGAAAACCCAATTTATAATAGAGAATAAAAATCGTTAGGCTCTGTTTTGCATTTTTTTGAAGTTCAAAGACCAAATTCAGACCTGGCTGAAGCTGATGCAAAGCACTTCCAAGTTTCCTGTCTCCCAAATCGGAGCGTAGCTCTTGCAGTAGAAACAGCTGAAATAATTCTGTGATTCTGAGCTGGGCTGCTCGCTGTTGTAATATCCCAGTTCATAGAATCATAGAATGGGTTGAGTTAGACCTTAAAGATCATCTAGTTCCAACCCCCCGGCAACAGTCAGGGAGCACGGTGAGTTTTGGAGGTTGATGGCTTTACATGAAGAGCGTTTCGAAGGATAACCTGTGCCTGGGTTTGGGGAATCCAATGGTCAGGCTGATCTCTGAGGGGTTTGCCCTCATGCTGAGTTCCCTCTCCTTGGCTCCGTTGCAGGCCCACCTGCCTTTCGCTGTGGTCGGCAGCACAGAGGAGGTGAAAGTCGGGAACAAGCTGGTGAGAGCTCGGCAGTACCCCTGGGGAGTGGTGCAAGGTAAGGTGTCGCGAGCTGGGCGCCCGCTGCAATCCTCGCTGCTGCACATAAACATCGCTTCTGTGGGCTGGGCAACCTTTCCTTGGAATTCCCATTCCTAACGGTCACCGGGGAATCCCTGCATCTGAGGGAGCAGCGGGCAGAGGTCCTTGGGAGGGGAGTCTCTGGAGTTAAGCTGCGTTACGTGTTGGTGCTCCCCGGTTTGCTGACTTCTCCCTCGGCTCGCCGCAGTGGAGAACGAAAGTCACTGCGACTTCGTGAAACTGCGGGAGATGCTGATTCGGGTCAACATGGAGGATCTTCGGGAGCAGACGCACACGCGCCACTACGAGCTGTACAGGAGGTGCAAACTGGAAGAGATGGGCTTCAAGGACACGGATCCAGACAGCCAGCCCTTCAGGTGAGTGGCCTTCAGGTCTAGCATCAATTTAGAGCGACAGTTTCGTAGTGAAACCCCCCCAAAAATGAGAAGTTTTGAAGTGGTACCCACAATGCTGGGCTGGAAAATCCTAGCACAGGGTTTGAACTTTGCAGCTGACTTGGGCATTCCCTTCCCTGCCTGCTTGTCTCTAAGCCACGCCAACAGACACGCGTGTCCCCATCCCTAACTCGTTCGTGTCCAAAGACTCTGGATTTTGTTTTCTTTCTTCCCCAGCCTCCAAGAAACATACGAGACCAAAAGGAAAGAGTTCTTGGGCGAGCTCCAGAAGAAAGAGGAAGAAATGAGACAAATGTTTGTTAACAAAGTCAAAGAGACGGAGGCAGAGCTGAAGGAGAAGGAGAGAGAGGTGAGTGTGCCAAAAACCTGTGAGAGCAGCCCAGAATACAGCCAGCATGAGATTTGGGTCTGGGCAACAGATGAATCCTGGAAGGCACTTGCAGCTCTTGAGCAGAGATCACCAGCCGAGGTGTGAACACACACGCCCCCTTTCCCTTTTCAGAGAATGGGATGCGGGATAACGTTTGCAAAACGGCATCCCTGGTTGAGGTTTGATACGCGGTGTGTCAGGCAGAGCTGAATTGATTGTGGTTTTGGTGAAGAGGTCAGCTCTGCCAGGGGGCTTGCATGGCGCAGGAGTGGCTGGTCAGGGCTCTGGGGGGTCGTGGGGATTCGTGTGGGACGGGGGGGATCCACAGCCCCAGTGGGGAGCGCAGCCCGACGGTCGTGCTGGGTGCGATGCTCAGGGGGGTCTGTCTCCTATCAGCTGCATGAGAAATTCGAGCACTTGAAAAGGATACACCAGGAAGAGAAGAGGAAGGTGGAGGAGAAGAGGAGGGAGCTGGAGGAAGAGATGAACGCCTTCAACAGGAGGAAAGTCGCGGTGGAAACGTTGCAGTCCCAATCCTTGCAGGCTACCTCACAGCAGCCGCTGAAGAAGGACAAAGACAGGAAAAAGTAAGTGGCTGAACTCGAGTCTTTCTCCTCTGCCGCTGGGAAGCTGGGTGTCTGCTCAGATGCTTTGATGTTTAGTTAACTGCTCAGACAGCAAATGGAAAAGGGGATTTTATAATCCTGATCTGGAATCCTCTTTGCTTAAAAAAGAGGAGAGATGGGGTCCTGTGCCCGGGAAGTCCTCGTGGATGCAGGTTGGGAGGGTTTTGTGATTTGGAGCCATTCCCTAAAGAGTCCTGCGGGGTTTGCCCTTTCCTCTGTGACAGCTCAAGTGATCCCAAAACCTGGGGACGGACAGGAAGGTGACTAGAAATGAGCTGCCTCTCCTCTCCAGCAGAGAGGAGTGGGGACAGTCTTGATGCAGCTGTAATGTCTTACAGATGAGGTCGCCCATCATGCACTCCCTCACTGTGATCTGTAGGCTCGGGGCGCTCCATGGAGATTGCTCTGACTTTATTTTTAGAGGCACAACTGTAAATAAAAAGGAAACAGCAGCTTAGAGTGAAGATGCATTGGAAATTCATTAGGGCTCCGTGTGAAACAGGGCTCCAAGACGCAGTTCTGCTTACGAGAAAGCTCTTTTCCCCTAAAGGCTGAAGTCTTATCTTCACGTGCTGCACGTTGCTGAAGCCAGCAAGAGTGTGGAGCGAGGGCATGCGAATAATCCTCTTCCAGCTGCCTGCCTTTATAGTGATAGACCAGGAAGGGGGCAAACAGGCTTAAAAGGAAAAGATGGGGAGGTGTGGTCGTGCTTCCATTCAAGCCAGTCTTCAGGGAACACTGAGTAGGGAGCAAAATGAGAAGCACCATCACACAAGCTGACGATTCTGTTATTTCAGCATTTTTTGTTACTTCCCCTTGCGTGAAGGAGCTTAAGAGTTTGAGCTGCCTTCTGTCAAATCCAGGGGAGGCTGGTGGCAATGCTTTCAGAGCCTTTTAATGATGAAAAGAAAAATAAAAAAAGACCGTGGAGAGTAGCAACATCCAAGTTTGCTCTTGACAGCACAATGTTCGTCTTCACGCTGCTGATGAGATCTTGTGCTCTGTCATTTCTCCGGTGGGAGCTGCAGCGCTGGAGAAGCTCGTTCTGCCTTACTGACGCGCTGGGATTTTGTTTCTTCCTATGGAAGATGACAGCGCGTCGTTATTTAACGTCCATTTCCTTGAATGTAAACATGTTGGTTTTAAAACAAAACCAAAGCGCTCCCCTCTGCAGAGCTCTGGGCACGTCCCACCTCACACAGAGTCCAAACCCGTTTGCTGAGGGATGTGTTTGGGGGTCGATGGGCTTGGTTTGGTTTGCAAACCTGCAGGCGAGTTCAAAATGTGGTGTTTGTGCGCACTTAGGGGGTTTCTGCTCAAGCAGGGCCACAAAATTTGTCATAAATTCAAAGGAAGGTGCCTCCCCTTGGTGCCACCAGTCTTGCCAGACCCTCTCTCCAACTGGACGGCATCAAAAGGAATTGAGGGTCAGGTAAACCCGTGGGGCGGAGAGCAGAGCCCTCGTCCATCCCGCGGTCGGTTCGGTGCTGCTTGGGCAGGAGGCAGATCTGCGTGTCCCCTGGCAGGCAGCAGGGTGGCCTTTGCCACCTTTCCTGCCGAGCTCTCGCCGCCGAAGCGGACCGGAGGGCAGCTGGGCCCCGGGGAGCTGGGGGCTGGTGTTTGGGCTGAGATTTTCCCTTCGCGCTTGCAGCTGCCGAGCGGGTCGTGCTGTGCTCTCGTCCGTCCGTCTGCAGATGCCCAAGCAGCGTTTGCCCTTCTCTGCCTTCTTTTCATTTATTTTTATTTTTTTAAAAAACCCATGTTTTGCTGCATTTTGCTTTTGTTTGGTTTTCGTAACTTTTAATTCGTGCTTCTTTTGTTTTGTTTCTTTCAGTTAATCACACACAGACTTTCAGGCCAAGAGTGGACTTGGTGCTTTCATGTGTTAAGTTGCTTGAGTTTCCCACCCTGTGACCCTTCTCATAACATTGTGTGAGTGGACCAAAGTGAAAGAGAAAATGAGCATCTTCGGTGGTTGCAGTGTAACGACTCGCTGTTTTCTGTGCAGAATTTATCGGGAGGTTTTAAGGAAGTAACCTTACCCACGTGCATTTTGTTAAACAAAGTCAACTAATCCCTAAAGTAAGATGTTTTGTTCTAAGCGCAGCAGTTGAACAGCTGTGTATAAAGTGGCCGTAACTGTCTGAACTCATCTTACCCACCAGCTAAATAATTGCTTTCTAGTATTTCTTTATTTTATTTTTTCTTTAATTGGCTAAGGTGGCTGCTTGAGGCTCACCTACCTTTCCCCTGTACGTGCACAAATGTCAGGAGCGGCGTGAAGAATGCTGAAATGTTTATTTTTCTAAGAAAATTCTCAATTTGAGTAAGTTTTTAGAATGGGTAGAAAAAAACCAAACAACAATGCTTGAAGTTTCTGCCCTGGGAATCTTAGTCAGAGTAAGCCTCACTCCGGTAATTATGTATTTTATACCTGAATTACTCTAAACACTTTCTACATCATTTATAATATATAGACATATATATATATATAAAGAGAGAGAGAGCGCGTGCTTAATAAAACTCGTCGGACAATGTTTTGAATTTACTGCTAAAGTAGAACATTTATAGAGAAAGATTTTTTTCATAGGAGATTATTGTATGATGTGGAGCTACAGGATTTGTGTAACTTTTTAATTGTCATTTACCGATGTATTTTACTGATGTGGAGAAGCTATTTAAGCGTTCATCTTTACTTTTACTCTTTAACCTTAAACTTACTATGTGCCTAAGAAGGAGAATCCCCTGATCTTGAGCCGTGCACCCTATTTATGCCGATAGGCTCTATTACTTTTAGAAGGTGCTTCCTTCTTAACACTCCTCATGCCTAGAAACCGCAGCCTTGTTTTCCTGGGCAATTAAACTTAGAGGAATAATTAGGTTCCTTTTTTCTTATTTATTTTTTCCCCTCTCAAGCCATTTTGTGATAAGGCAGGATAATCCCTTAACAGAGACTAACTGTGATTGTCACGGAAGAAGTGTTGGACCCGGTTCCATGAGATAACAGGCTAAAAGAAAGGAAATATTTTCTATTAACCCCCACGTAGTGTCTTCTGAGCTTATAAAAACACGGGCTGGCTAAGTGTTAGTTGTGAGCGTGTCCGTTTTTATTTAGTTATTAATTTTTTCTGGTTTTGTTTTTTTGTGTTTTTTTCTTAAAGACTTGTCTCTAAACAGAGAAAGTCATCAAATTCCTTCTTTGGCGGGTGGAGGTGCATGGCCTCGCCTCGAGCTGTTGCAGGTCTGTCAGATGAGGTTCTTCAACTCGCATATCCCGTTAAAGCAGCTTTTTTTCTTTTTCTTTGGTTTTTTTTTTTTCCTTTCTGAATGCATGCTCAGGTGTTCAACTGTTTTCATACGGACGTTGGCCTTTTCTCTGAATATCCTGAAAATCATGTCAGTGTTACTTGATCCTTGTAAGAAGGAACCTCACGAAGATCTTGCGGGTACCTTTAGAACAGGCTGCTTTTAAAAAGTGACAATTAGGAGGCTGCTGAAAGCCGAACATTTAATTTTGAAGGCTGTGGCTCCAGGTTAGGTGTATTTCGAGCTGTCAGATGTTAGGAGGGTTAATGTGTTCTTCTTGGAGAAGGAAGCCAACCCGTTGTCATAAGCAAGAAGTCGATTCCAGCTCACTGCTGATGACAGCAGTGGAGCCAATTAGGGGTGGAATTTTTTAATTTAAATTTTTTATTTTTTTCTTTTGCTAAGGAGAGGAACTCTGGTGCACTAATTGCAGGAGTGAGCAGCTCGCTTTGGTTTGCTGTTTTGCCTCTTGCGGCCGGTGACAGCAACCGATGATGCTGGGTGTGCCAACAGCCACTTTGCCGTGGCGGTTCCCGGCGATGGTTTTCTCCTGGTTGTTTTCTCCTTTTCTCTCGATCTCAGGCTGCAGCCAGTGGGATCTGTGTAAATGATTTCTGCCTGCTCTGGCTCATCAGAGATCAATTCTTTCTTCCTAGAATTGCAGGTAGTTAAGAGGAACGATGCTAACAGCAAAAGAGTAAAAAACCTTCAGATTAATGGGCATTGTGGAGAATTTTCCAGCTTTTTCTGATTAAGACATTCAGAATGTATGTAACAATATTTTAATGCTGATGGTTTATTATACTACATTGACTTTTATGTTGTGTCAGACACACTTTTTGCATGTAGTAACTTGGTCTTTAGAGCAGTCAGCATCATAATCTCCCCAATGGGACTCAGTCTTGCAGTTCTGTTTTTTTCTCTAGTACTTGATTTTCCCTCTTGGCTGAGACCAGATTTAAGTATGTGGTATATAGGGTAGGTCTGCATCTTATTTTTATTTAACAATTTACAAATGCATGGCGATGCTAATCTCCCTCCAGTCTGAAGATTTACATCTTGTCGGCTAGAAGTGAAAGGAAAACCCTTCAGAAATGACTGAAACTGTTCCGTTTTTCATCTCTCAGCTGTTTTATACATTTATCTGTAAAAGGTTGGTGTTAATGGGAAAAACTATCCTTCTTTTTTTTTTTTTTTTAAAAATCATTTAAATGTTTACCATCCTGTATGTTGTCTGCTTTCTAATTTAAAATGTGTTTGGAGGGGCTCTAAGCTCTGTAGGCTTCACGTCTGGCCGTGGTGGATGCCCTGGGGTGAGAAGGGGTGGTTGGCTCAGAGCACCCCGAGCTCTCAGGTGCCTTGGGGGGACCTGCCTGGAGGGAGCAGCCTCTTGGATTTGCTGCATCCCGTCACTTGCTCATTCCAAATGTCTTCTTGGGTTCTTTTTGTTCGTTTTGTTTTGTTTCTTTCCGCTCACTTTGTACCTTTTTGTTTTGTTTTTTTCTTCTTCTTTTATTAAATCTCACATGTATTTTGAGTTTTTGTGGTGTCGTTTGTTCAGCGGTGCGTTTCTTGCGTTACCGAGTGGATCTCTGTTGAAACAATAACGTGTAATGATTGAAACCTTACCCGGTCACAGGATGTCTTATAACTAT